GCTTTCTAGACCACAATATTAGAGTGTGTCTTTCTTAGTGACCAGGGCTATGTAGGGACCAAGGTGTGCACCTGAGCTCTGGGGAATTATGTACTATGGTATGTGGACACTGTGATTCTCTGTTTCTTTCCCTAATTATTTTTATTTTCATTTACTTTTATTTATTTTCTTGGAGACAGAGTGTCATTTTGTTGCCCTCGATACAGTGCCATAGCATCATAGCTCACAGCAACCTCGAACTCTTGGGCCCAAGCAATTCTTTTGCCTCAGCCTCCAAAGTAGCTGGGACTACAGATGCCTGCTACAATGCCCAGCTAATTTTATAGATGAGGTCTCACTTTGGCTCAGGTTGGTCTTGAACCTGTGAGCTCAGGCAATCTACCGGCCTCTGCCTCTGAAAGGGCTAGGATTATAGAAGTGAGCCACTGCACCCAACCTCTTTCCCTAATTCTAAACTATGTAATCATCATCTTCAGAATAGAAGCTCAGACCATCAGCTCCCTCACTGTGACAGGTAGCTCTCCTGCTTTGGATCTTTCTTGTCCAATATGGAAGCCACTAACTACATGTGGCTAGTTAAATTTAAGTTTGTCCAAATTGCATTACATTGCAAATTCCATTGCATATTTCATGTACCTTAATGAGGAAGGGCTCTCAATGCCTCTTGCATCCTCCATTGGAATACTGAAGGTGGGAGAACATTTCCATCATGGCAGAAATTGAGGTGCAAAATGGTGGCCTAGATTTTCACTACTCAGAGTGCAGTCCATGAGTGGGCAGCACCAGCAGTCCCCAGAGAGATTAGAAGAGCAGAATCTCAACCTCATCCCAGACCTACTGACTCAGTACCTGCATTTTCACAAAATCCCTAGTGACAGGTGTCCACATTCAAGTTTGAGAAGCACTGGTCTAGACCACACTGCCTACCCCCACTGGGACCAGCATTTGAGAGAAAACTGGGAACTTTGATGACCAACGATGCCCACTGCCTGCCCTCTCTTTGTTCCAATTTGAATCTTCTTCCTAATTTCTCAGCCCCCAACCCAGTGAGAAACTTGAGTGTGGAGGGTCAGACCAATAGCTCTGTCATGCTACACTGGGAAGTGCCCGAGGGCCCAGACCCACAGAACTACACCTACTGGGTCCAGTGGATTGGAGATGGTGGCACACCTGAGAACCGAAGCACAGCAGACACGAGGGTGACAGTGGATGCACTTGAACCTGGATCCTACTATGAATTTTGGGTGTGGGCACAGAAGAATGAAGTCAACAGCTTCAAGGAGACTCAAAATGCCACCACAGGTGAGAGGCAGTCATAACTTCTTTTCTTTCCTTCTTTTTTTATGGGAGGTGGTAGGTGGTGATTGAAGCCAGATATGAGGACATTGCAGACTATCCCGCCCATAGTCTCTCTGGGCTGCATTTAGCCAGATACTCATGACCACATCCTGGAGCAGTTTTGGCTTGGGAGATAAAGGAAAAACATCAAGGGTGCTCCACTTTCTGAGTTGGGCTCAGCTGGTGTGTAGAATGCCGGAGAATTGCAGGCTGTAACACTAGGTAATGTCTTCCTGCATAAACGGGATGTTGCCTTAGCTCTCCAGGAATCAGATACTGTACATGGGGACACCTCTGACCCTCTGACTCTTCACTCAGTTCCTACTGTGTCACATTTTGAAAATAAAAGATCAGATCATCAGCTCCCACACCCTGATGTGGACAACTCCCTCTCCAGATCTCCATTGTCCAATATGGTAGCTGCTAGCTACGTGTGCCTATTTAAATTTAAGCTCATTGAAGTTGCATAAAATTTCAAATACAGTTTCTCATTTGATGGCTCACAAGTCCACTGAGGGATTCCTGGTCTCACTTTCATCCTCTATCGGGCCAGTGCCTACTATATTGGACCATGGGAAGGCATTTCCATCACTGTAGAAAGCTCCCTTTTATAAGGGCACTAGCCCCATTCACAATGGCAGAACCCACCAGGACCTAATTGTCTCCCAAGGACCCCATATCTCAATACTATTGCATTGGTGATTAGGGTTCAACATACGAATTTTAGAGAGACACAAATATTCAGAGTAAAACTCAAAGTATAGTCCATGACTGGGCAGCACCAGCTGACCCCAGGGTGATTAGAAGAGCAGAATCTCAGCCTCATCCTGGACCTACTGACTCAGAACCTGCATTTTCACAAAATCCCTAGTGACAGGCGCGCACATTGGAGTTTAAGAAGCACTGGTCTAGGGCAGCGCCTATTGCTCAGTGGGTAGGGCGCTGGCCACATATCCTGAGGGTAGCAGGTTCAAACCTGGCCCCGGCCAGACTGCAACAACAAAAAAATAGCTGGGTGTTGTGGTGGGCACCTGTAGTCCCAGCTACTTGGGAGGCTGAGGCAAGAGAATCACCTAAGTCCAATAGCTGGAGGTTGCTGTGAGCTATGATGCCACAGTACTCTACCAAGGGCAACAGAGTGAGACTCTGTCTCTTAAAAAAAAAAAAAGGCTCGGTGCCTGTGGCTCAAGTAGCTAAGGTGCCAGCCACATACACCTAAGGTGGCGGGTTTGAATAAAAAAATAGCCAGGCGTTGTGGCGGGCACCTGTGTTCCCTGCTACTTGGGAGGCAGAGGCAGGAGTCTCGCTTGAGCCCAGGAGTTAGAGGTTGCTGTGAGCTGTGATGCCACAGCACTCTACCTAGGGGGACAGCTTGAAGCTCTGTCTCAAATAAATAAATAAAATAAAAAGAGAAGCACTGGTCTAGACCACACTGCCTACTCCCATGGGACCACCACTTGAGGGAAAACTGGGAACTTTGATAACCAAAGATGCCTACTGCCTGCCCTCTCTTTGTTCCATACCCCTGTCCAATTGAAATCTTCTTCCTAATTTCTCAGCCCCCAAGCCAGTGAGAAACTTGAGTGTGGAGGGTCAGACCAATAGCTCTGTCACTCTATACTGGGAGGTGCCCGAGGGCCCAGACCCACAGAACTACACTTACTGGGTCCAGTGCATTGGAGATGGTGGCACAACTGAGACCTGAAGCACAGCAAATACTGATGTCCCAGCTGGGGGACTTGAACCAGGAACCTTGTATGAATTTCTCTGTGTGAGCAGAAAAGAATGCAGGGCTTGGCTCCAGGCAGAATCCCAGCATTTCAATGACACCCTCTGTTTTGGTGACAAGTCAAGAATTGGCAAAGATGATATGTCCTCTAGGCTGTGGGCTTTGACACTTAATTTTTTTTTTTTTTTTTGAGACGGATCCTCAAGCTATCCCCCTGGGTAGAG